TCTGTAATTTTTATCATAGGTACACTTCAACTGTGAGAGACGGAATCTAAAACAAAAATCCAGGAAAATCACATTGTATGATTTTTAAGTAATTAATTTGCATTTTATTGCATGACATAAGTATTTGATCACCTACCAACCAGTAAGAATTCCGGCTCTCACAGACCTGTTAGTTTTTCTTTAAGAAGCCCTCCTGTTCTCCACTCATTACCTGTATTAACTGCACCTGTTTGAACTTGTTACCTGTATAAAAGACACCTGTCCACACACTCAATCAAACAGACTCCAACCTCTCCACAATGGCCAAGACCAGAGAGCTGTGTAAGGACATCAGGGATAAAATTGTAGACCTGCACAAGGCTGGGATGGGCTACAGGACAATAGGCAAGCAGCTTGGTGAGAAGGCAACAACTGTTGGCACAATTATTAGAAAATGGAAGAAGTTCAAGATGACGGTCAATCACCCTCGGTCTGGGGCTCCATGCAAGATCTCACCTCGTGGGGCATCAATGATCCTGAGGAAGGTGAGCCCAGAACTACACGGCATGACCTGGTCAATGACCTGAAGAGAGCTGGGACCACAGTCTCAAAGAAAACCATTAGTAACACACTATGCCGTCATGGATTAAAATCCTGCAGCGCACGCAAGGTCCCCCTGCTCAAGCCAGCGCATGTCCAGGCCCGTCTGAAGTTTGCCAATGACCATCTGGATGATCCAGAGGAGGAATGGGAGAAGGTCATGTGGTCTGATGATACAAAAATAGAGCTTTTTGGTCTAAACTCCACTCGCCGTGTTTGGAGGAAGAAGAAGGATGAGTACAACCCCAAGAACACCATCCCAACCGTGAAGCATGGAGGTGGAAACATCATTCTTTGGGGATGCATTTCTGCAAAGGGGATAGGACGACTGCACCGTATTGAGGGGAGGATGGATGGGGCCATGTATCGCGAGATCTTGGCCAACAACCTCCTTCCCTCAGTAAGAGCATTGAATATGGGTCGTGGCTGGGTCTTCCAGCATGACAACGACCCGAAACACAGCCAGGGCAACTAAGGAGTGGCTCCGTAAGAAGCATCTCAAGGTCCTGGAGTGGCCTAGCCAGTCTCCAGACCTGAACCCAATAGAAAATCTTTGGAGGGAGCTGAAAGTCCTTATTGCCCAGCGACAGCCCCGAAACCTGAAGGATCTGGAGAAGGTCTGTATGGAGGAGTGGGCCAAAATCCCTGCTGAAGTGTGTGCAAACCTGGTCAAGACCTACAGGAAACGTATGATCTCTGTAATTGCAAACAACGGTTTCTGTACCAAATATTAAGTTCTGCTTTTCTGATGTATCAAATACTTATGTCATGCAATAAAATGCAAATTAATTACTTAAAAATCATACAATGTGATTTTCTGGATTTTTGTTTTTAGATTCCGTCTCTCATAGTTGAAGTGTACCTATGATAAAAATTACAGACCTCTACATGCTTTGTAAGTAGGAAAACCTGAAAAATCGGCAGTGTATTAAATACTTGTTCTCCCCACTGTATGTGTCTATGCTAAGTGAGACGGACGTTACAGGACGAAGAAGAGCGTGAAGAGGAAGAGGAGTTTGAAGATGGTGGTATAGGAGAGTGAGGAGAACAGGAGGAGGAGGAGGATCAGCAGAATGATGGGTTGAAACATCTAGGTGGGGTAATAGGACAGAAGAGGAGGAAGAGTCAGGATGAGAAGATGGGAAAACAAAATGGTAGAAAGAGAGAACAGGTCAAAGCAGGTTAACAATACTGAGATGCAAACCAAATAGATGAACGTCATACAGTATGTTTATCACTAACATGTCCACAATGCACACATCTATTAAACAATGGAGCAATCACATTTCTTCAGACACGTGTGTGTGTGTGTGTGTGTGTGTGTGCACGTGCATGTGCGTGTGTGTGCACTAATGTGTGTGTGTGTCTGTGCGTGTGTGTGTGCGTGTGTGTGTGTGCACTAATGTGTGTGTGTGTGTGTGTGTGTGTGTGCACTAATTTGTGCGTGTGTGTGCGTGTGTGCGTGTGTGCGTGTGCCAGGGTTTCCCTTAGGAAAATGTGTGCCGGACATTTGACCGGCAGCATTTTAATTTACCGGACATTTGACCGGCAGCATTTTAATTTACCGGACATTTGACTGGCAGCATTTAATTTACCGGACATTTGACCGGCAGCATTTTAATTTACCGGACATTTGACTGGCAGCATTTTAATTTACCGGACATTTGACCGGCAGCATTTTAATTTACCGGACATTTAAGACATTTTCCCGGACCCATATGCATTGGTTACGTAACCTGATTAGGGTGTCCACCCACGGTTCTCGGAATGACAGAAATCACATTTAGTTTACGGTAATTCATCTTAACAGAACATGCAACTCCGATGCAACGGCGAGCGTCATTCTTACTAAATTCCGATGAGCAATTTCAAGATGTTAGAATACATTGGCAGCATGTCCATAAGGCTAGGGGAAGCTAAGCTTTCCTAAAGTAAATTGAATGAAATTGCCAAAATTATAAAGCCTAATTAGCTTACTCCTGTCTATACAGAAATAAATAAAATCATTCAAAATAGGCTACTACACCAGAAAACATGATATGGCCACAGAGGATCATTAGCTTAAAAAATAAACAATAAAAAGCTGTGGATTGTTTTTACATTTATAGCCTACAGTTAAATAATAAATACCAAATAGATGATTGTTGAGTTAAATAATAAATACCAAATAGATGATTGTTGAGTTAAATAATAAATACCAAATAGATGATTGTTGAGTTAAATAATAAATACCAAATAAATGATTGTTGAGTTAAATAATAAATACCAAATAGATGATTGTTGAGTTAAATAATAAATACCAAATAGATGATTGTTGAGTTAAATAATAAATACCAAATAGATGATTGTTGAGTTAAATAATAAATACCAAATAGATGATTGTTGAGTTAAATAATAAATACCAAACAGATGATTGTTGAGTTAAATAATAAATACCAAATAGATGATTGTTGAGTTAAATAATAAATACCAAATAGAAGATTGTTGAGTTAAATAATAAATACCAAATATATGATTGTTGAGATAAATAATAAATACCAAATAGATGATTGTTGAGTGAAATAATAAATACCAAATAGACGATTGTTGAGTTAAATAATAAATACCAAACAGATGATTGAGTTAAATAATAAATACCAAACAGATGATTGTTGAGTTAAATAATAAATACCAAACAGATGATTGTTGAGTTAAATAATAAATACCACATAGATGATTGTTGAGTTAAATAATAAATACCACATAGATGATTGTTGAGTTAAAGAATAAATACCAAATAGATGATTGTTGAGTTAAATAATAAATGCCAAATAGATAATTGTTGAGTTAAATAATAAATACCAAATAAATGATTGTTGAGTTAAATAATAAATACCAAATAGATGATTGTTGAGTTAAATAATAAATACCAAATAGATGATTGTTGAGTTAAATAATAAATGCCAAATTGATAATTGTTTAGTTAAATCATAAATACCAAATAGATTATTGTTGAGTTAAATAATAAATACCAAACAGATGATTGTTGAGTTAAATAATAAATACCAAATAGATGATTGTTGAGTTAAATAATAAATACCAAATAGATGATTGTTGAGTTGCGACTGTCAGTGAAAAGCAGCCAGGCATATCGCAAAATATTTAAAAATACAATCACGGAAAAACAGTTTGGAAAACAAATGGCTGCTGCTGTAAAGACGATGAAACAACTACAATCTGTATTTTAGTGACCAACATTCTCAACCTCATTAAACGACAAGTAGCCTATCAGCGGAGAACATCGGCTGTATCCCCGGTGAGTGTATATTCACTATCTTTATCATTGGGTCAGTGCCATATCCCCGGTGAGTGTATATTCACTGTCATTATCATTGGGTCAGTGCCGTATCCCCGGTGAGTGTATATTCACTGTCGTTATCATTGGGTCAGTGCCGTATCCCCGGTGAGTGTATATTCACTGTCGTTATCATTGGGTCAGTGCCGTATCCCCGGTGAGTGTATATTCACTGTCGTTATCATTGGGTCAGTGCCAAAGCCCCGGTGAGTGTATATTCACTGTCGTTATCATTGGGTCAGTGCCGTATCCCCGGTGAGTGTATATTCACTGTCGTTATCATTGGGTCAGTGCCGTATCCCCGGTGAGTGTATATTCACTGTCGTTATCATTGGGTCAGTGCCGTATCCTCGGTGAGTGTATATTCACTGTCGTTATCATTGGGTCAGTGCCGTATCCCCGGTGAGTGTATATTCACTGTCGTTATCATTGGGTCAGTGCCGTATCCCCGGTGAGTCAGGGTTAGGGTCAGTGCCATATCCCCGGTGAGTGTATATTAACTATCTTTATCATTGGGTCAGTGCCGTATCCCCGGTGAGTGTATATTCACTGTCGTTATCATTGGGTCAGTGCCATATCCCCGGTGAGTGTATATTAACTATCTTTATAATTGGGTCAGTGCCACTTTTGTTTGTTTTTGGACAATAATTTCCTCCTCCAGGTTAGATGGACGTAATATTTTATTTGTTCTAATATGCCATTTAGCAGACGCTTTTATCCAAAGCGACTTACAGTCATGCGTGCATACATATATTTTTTTTAAGGTATGGGTGGTCCCGGGGATCGAACCCACTACCCTGGTGTTACAAGTGCCGTGCTCTACCAATTGAGCTACAGAGGACCACGTATTTGTCTCCGCTTTCGTAGGCGGATTATATTGATCAGACAATGTCGTTTTTATCAATCTGTTTGTTAGAGCAATAAAGAGTAGTAGTTTGTCAGCAGAGTAGGCTACCCTGTAATATCTGTCGTATAAAAAAAAGAGTTGTCTATGCACTTGAAAGGCGAATGGGAAGCGCGCTTCAATTACCAGTTGAGGAATAAAAAAAGCCGGCTAACGGAAACCCTGGTGTGTGCCTAACTCCGTTCAACTTACAGACAGTGGTTCCTCATCCTCCTTGTCCTCTGACTTGGGGACATCCAGTCTGTCTATAAAGCCCTGCAGCTCCTTCCTGAAGGCCTTCATCTGAGCGTTGATCCTGTACAGCAGCTCATGCTCCCTGACGGCGCTCCCTTCCTCCTCATAAAGCTCCCCGTTGGAGACCATATAGACCCGGGCCTCAGCGATGATGGTACTGGTGTCTGCTATCAGCCTATCGATGGTCCGGCCCAGTCGCTCTGCTTCTATACGGATGTCCATCATCTGCTGCCGGTCCTTCAGGCTGCGGGGGAGGAAGCGGCCCTCGGGGGAGTACAGGGAGCGGGTGGGGGTCAGGCACCGGATGTTACGCACCTGGATTGGTAGGGAGACGGGATAACCTTATGTCAGCTGTCAGCTTCACTGTATTTAATACACAATGCATTATGGGTACTGTAGTACATTACGCTGTGTCACCTCGTCCGAGTCGCTCTCCCCTCCGACGGGGCCTTCGCGTTTACGGTGGGGTGGGAAGCGTGATGAGGTGGAGGCGTCATCTCCTCCGTCACTCTCTGCGTCACTTTCCCGGGGGCTGGCCCTGATGCCCAGGTGTGATGCCAGGTCATAGCGTTGCATGTTGGACAGGAGGACCCGGTTCTCATACTGCATCTGCATCACCTGTAGAGGTAAGGAGACAGGATAGCATTATGTTAGCGTCGGAGATGGAAACCATTATGTAAGCTTCAGCTGTCAGTTTCATTTCAATTTAAATCAATTCATTAATCAATTCAGGAAGTAAACTGAAATTCCACTTCCAATGTGTTCTCATAGAGAAGCATTGAGGGAAATTGGAATTCCAGGTAACTTCCTGAATTGAAGGAATTAAAATGGAATTGACCCCAACCCTGCCAGAAAAAATACACAGAGCATTGTGGGTAGTGTAGTCCATCATGCTACCTCACCTTGCCACTCAGCTCGTTGATCTGCAGCCTGGCAGCCTTTAGCTCCTCCTGCAGGACCTCCACCTTGGCCCGGTCCGCAGCTGCCCCGGCCCCACCACCAGCACCGTGCCTGGAGCCCTCCTTGTACTTTAGCTTGTTTAGCTCTCCCGTCACCTAAAATAAGGTTTTAGTGGGGATTGAAACAGTATGTACCTTAGCTTGAATCACTGACTGTAAATCGCTCTCTGGATAAATCAGTGGTTCTCAACCTGGGGTACGTGTCTGTGGCCTTCCCCAGTAGGTACTAGGTCAACCTTATGAGACCATAGGCCTGCCGGGGCGGCAGGTAGCTTAGTGGTTAAGAGCGTTGTGCCAGTAACCGAAAGGTCGCTGGTTCTAATCCCCGAGCCGAATAGGTGAAAGATCTGTCGATGTGCCCTTGAGCAAGGCACTTAACCCTAATTGCTCCTGTAAGTCGCTCTGGATAAGAGTGTCTGCTAAATGACTAAAATGTAATGATACATAGCATATGAGGGGGTGCTTGAGAGAGAGCTAAATGTGATCATGGTAACAGTAACGACAAAAGGTTGACAACTATTTAGGGAATAGGGTGTGATTTTGGACCCACCTTGTTGTTGTCCTCCTCTGCGTCCTGCAGGTTCCTCCTAAGTAGCTCCGCCTCGTCTTCCACCAGCTGTAGCTGTTGCCTTAGCTCCCTGAGTTCCTCTCCCTGCTCCCTGCTGCAGCCATGCTCAGCCGAGCCTCCAGCCACCTCATCCCTGGCAATGCATCAGGCAATACATCAATGAATGCATCTATTAATACATCAATCAATCAATCAATGCATCAATCAATACATCAATAAATCAATGCATCAATCAATACATCAATTATACACCAATCAATCAATGCATCAACCAATACATAAATCAATCAATGCATCAATCAATATATCAGCCTCAATATATCAGCCTCAATGGTCCTCTGTAGCTCAATTGGTAGAGCATGGCACTTGTAACGCCAGGGTAGTGGGTTCGATCCCCGGGACCACCCTTACGTAAAAATGTATGCACACATGACTGTAAGTCGCTTTGGATAAAAGCGTCTGCTAAATGGCATATTATTATTATTATTATTATTATCAACCAATCAATACATCAATCAATCAAATGTATCTTGTTTATTTACAAAGACTTAAGGAGATCTGAGAGAATTTGATTGGTATAAGCAATATGGTGAAACATCTATCCAGCCTATCAGAGGGCAAGGTGGAGCTATTAGCATACATATTGCTTACACCTGTCAAATCCTCTCAGATCTCCACAAGTGCGTAGGGCGTAGGGCGTAGGGTTTAGGGGTCCATTGAGCCTACCTGTCCTCCAGTTCAGCCTACAGTCCTCCACCCCCAGCACTACTATCTTCCTCCCTCCCTACCTGTCTCTCATGTCCTCCAGTTCAGCCTTCAGTCCTCTGTTCTCCACCTCCAGCTCTACAATCTTCCTCCCCAGGATGTTGGCTTCCTCCTCCACCAGTCTCAGCCTCAGTTTCAGCTCTGACTCCCGAGAGGTGGCTGGTCCCCCAGCCTCTCCCTTGGGCCCAGGGCTGTCCACGTCCCCGTAGAAGGAGCGGTACTTCTGCAGCTCGTGTTCCAGCCGGTCCTTCTCCTTGTCAATTTTAGCCATCTTCTTCCTCATCAAAACGGCTTCCTCCTTGATGAAGGCCAGCTGGCATTTCAGATCCTCATTTTCCTCCTGGGGGAGAGAAGAATATAAGTTGTGGTCTTTTGTCTCTTGATATAGTTTGATGAATAACGATGACGTAAAACATTGTTGATGGTGACATACCTCTATTGGGGTCTGTGGAATCCTTTTCTCTTTCTGAACATCCCTGCCTCCTCTTCTCTTCAGTGACAGCTGTCAGAGAATAAAGGTGACATCACATCATCAGCCCACTGTTAACCGTTAGCTTTGACAAATGTACATGACTGGTGGAATCTGTTATGGACAGTTCATGTGCTTTACAGACAGACTCTCGATCATTAAAACATGACTGACTCTCAGAACCTCTTAACTAACAAGCTTGTGATGAGTAACCATGCCTTGTGTTAACTCCCTGAGCTAACGTCTCGGATTTAGCTAAGCAGGCTAACACAGTCTTGTGGCACGCGGGAGACCTGGGTTTGAACCCAGTCGGGCACATGACAGTGCAGAAACTTGCCCTCCCTGGCAGCAGGTGTCCTCCTCACCTCCTTGGCTTCTCCAGCTGGTTGTGCAGGACCTGCTTGGTCACCTCCACCTAACCCTAACCCACCACCCTAACCCTCCCTGTCTCCCCCCTAACCCACCACCCTAACCCTCCCTGTCTCCCCCCTCCTCACCTCCTTGGCCTTCTCCAGCTGGTTGTGCAGGGCCTGCTTGGTCACCTCCACCTCTATCAGCTTTTGCCTCAGCTTCTCGTTCTCCTCCTCCGTCTTCGTCCTCTTCTCCTCCACGTTCTCCAATTCATGGTGCAGACGCACTGACACATCCTTCGCTACCTGGAGGGGGGGAGGGAGGGGGACAGAGACAGGGAGAGGGAGGGGGAGAGGGAGAGAGACAGGGAGAGGGAGGGGGAGGGGGAGAGGGAGAGGGAAAGAGAGGGGGGAGAGAGACAGGGAGGGGGAGAGAGACAGGGAGGGAGAGGGATGGGCCCTGGTCTATTAGCAAACAGTGCATTCGGAAAGTATTCAGACCCCTTGACTTTGTCCACATTTTGTTACATTACAGCCTTATTCTAAAATTGATTAAATTGATTTTTCCCCCTCATCAATCTACACACAATATCCCATAATGACAAAGCAAAAACAGGTAAAAAAAACCAGAAATATCACATTTACATAAGTATTCAGACCCTTTACTCAGTACTTTGTTGAAGGACCTTTGGCAGCGATTACAGCCTTGAGTCTTCTTGGGTATGACGCTACAAGCTTGGCACACCTGTATTTAGGGAGTTTCTCCCATTCTTCTCTGCAGATCCTCTCAAGCTCTGTCAGGTTGGATGGGGAGCGTTGCTGCACAGCCATCTCCACAGAGGAACTCTGGAGCTCTGTCAGAGTGACCATCGGGTTCTTGGTCACCTATATAGACAGGTGTGTGCCTTTCCAAATCATGTCCAATCAATTGAATTTACCACAGGTGGACTCAAATCAAGTTGTAGAAACATCTCAAGGACGATCAATGGAAACAGGATGCACCTGAGATCAAACCCTATGACATATAGAGTCTAGACAACATTACCTTCAGGTCACACCCTATGACATATAGAGTCTAGACAACATTACCTTCAGGTCACACCCTATGACATATAGAGTCTAGACAACATTACCTTCAGGTCACACCCTATGACATATAGAGTCTAGACAACATTACCTTCAGGTCACACCATATGACATATAGAGTCTAGACAACATTACCTTCAGGTCAAACCCTATGACATATAGAGTCTAGACAACATTACCTTAAGGTCACACCCTATGACATATAGAGTCTAGACAACATGACCTTCAGGTCACACCCTATGACATATAGAGTCTAGACAACATTACCTTCAGGTCACACCCTATGACATATAGAGTCTAGACAACATTACCTTCAGGTCAAACCCTATGACATATAGAGTCTAGACAACATTACCTTAAGGTCACACCCTATGACATATAGAGTCTAGACAACATTACCTTCAGGTCACACCCTATGACATATAGAGTCTAGACAACATTACCTTCAGGTCACACCCTATGACATATAGAGTCTAGACAACATGACCTTCAGGTCACACCCTATGACATATAGAGTCTAGACAACATTACCTTCAGGTCAAACCCTATGACATATAGAGTCTAGACAACATTACCTTAAGGTCACACCCTATGACATATAGAGTCTAGACAACATTACCTTCAGGTCACACCCTATGACATATAGAGTCTAGACAACATTACCTTCAGGTCACACCATATGACATATAGAGTCTAGACAACATTACCTTCAGGTCAAACCCTATGACATATAGAGTCTAGACAACATTACCTTAAGGTCACACCCTATGACATATAGAGTCTAGACAACATGACCTTCAGGTCACACTCTATGACATATAGAGTCTAGACAACATGACCTTCAGGTCAAACCCTATGACATATAGAGTCTAGACAACATTACCTTAAGGTCACACCCTATGACATATAGAGTCTAGACAACATGACCTTCAGGTCACACCCTTTGACATATAGAGTCTAGACAACATTACCTTCAGGTCAAACCCTATGACATATAGAGTCTAGACAACATTACCTTAAGGTCACACCCTATGACATATAGAGTCTAGACAACATTACCTTCAGGTCACACCCTATGACATATAGAGTCTAGACAACATGACCTTCAGGTCACACCCTATGACATATAGAGTCTAGACAACATTACCTTCAGGTCACACCCTATGACATATAGAGTCTAGACAACATGACCTTCAGGTCACACCCTATGACATATAGAATCTAGACAACATTACCTTCAGGTCACACCCTATGACATATAGAGTCTAGACAACATTACCTTAAGGTCACACCCTATGACATATAGAGTCTAGACAACATGACCTTCAGGTCAAACCCTATGACATATAGAGTCTAGACAACATTACCTTCAGGTCACACCCTATGACATATAGAGTCTAGACAACATGACCTTCAGGTCACACCCTATGACATATAGAGTCTAGACAACATTACCTTCAGGTCACACCCTATGACATATAGAGTCTAGACAACATGACCTTCAGGTCACACCCTATGACGTAGAGGGCTCTATTTTAACACAATGGTCAATCTAAGCGCTGGCGGTAGCACTATAGGTTCAGGGATGTGTCAGAAATATTTGAGCTATTTTCACTATCACAATTATCGGCGCACCATCTGGCGTTGGCGCTAAAGGGCTGGGTTTAGATGACTAAACAAGTTGTGGGTGTGTCTAGGCTTGGCCCCTCACTGGCCAATCAGAACGTGCTCCATGGCAAAAATATGTGGTTGCTTCAAGTTGTGTATTTATGGTCTTTTATGTATTGCCTTGGAATCAACTCCAATTCCAATGTTAGTCCGTTATAGTTTGTTAAATGGCTTACAGAAACAAAATAACAAAATGTAGACCTATCTTTGCTGAATATGTTAACTTGAACCCATTTGCAGTCCACATTGTTCTAAGTAATTCCATGGCTTCAATAGCATTCACACTGATATATGGGCTAGGCCTACTGTAAATTACATTATGGCTGAGCATGGACATGCCAAACCAGCCTTCATTATAGTAGGCCTGAGGGATGCTTGGGTTGCTGTTGAACCAGCCTTCATTATAGTAGACCTGAGGGAGGGCTTGTTGTTGAACCAGCCTTCATTATAGTAGACCTGAGGGAGGGGTTGCTGTTGAACCAGCCTTCATTATAGTAGGCCTGAGGGAGGGGTTGCTGTTGAACCAGCCTTCATTATAGTAGGCCTGAGGGAGGGCTTGTTGTTGAACCAGCCTTCATTATAGTAGACCTGAGGGAGGGCTTGGGTTGTTGAACCAGCCTTCATTATAGTAGACCTGAGGGATGCTTGGGTTGCTGTTGAACCAGCCTTCATTATAGTAGACCTGAGGGAGGGCTTGTTGTTGAACCAGCCTTCATTATAGTAGGCCTGAGGGATGCTTGGGTTGCTGTTGAACCATCCTTCATTATAGTAGACCTGAGGGAGGGCTTGTTGTTGAACCAGCCTTCATTATAGTAGACCTGAGGGAGGGCTTGTTGTTGAACCAGCCTTCATTATAGTAGGCCTGAGGGAGGGCTTGTTGTTGAACCAGCCTTCATTATAGTAGACCTGAGGGAGGGGCTTGTTGTTGAACCAGCCTTCATTATAGTAGGCCTGAGGGAGGGCTTGTTGTTGAACCAGCCTTCATTATAGTAGACCTGAGGGAGGGCTTGTTGTTGAACCAGCCTTCATTATAGTAGACCTGAGGGAGGGCTTGTTGTTGAACCAGCCTTCATTATAGTAGACCTGAGGGAGGGCTTGTTGTTGAACCAGCCTTCATTATAGTAGGCCTGAGGGAGGGCTTGTTGTTGAACCAGCCTTCATTATAGTAGACCTGAGGGAGGGGTTGGGTGTTGTTGTTGAACCAGCCTTCATTACAGTAGGCCTGAGGGAGGGCTTGTTGTTGAACCAGCCTTCATTACAGTAGGCCTGAGGGAGGGCTTGTTGTTGAACCAGCCTTCATTATAGTAGACCTGAGGGAGGGCTTGTTGTTGAACCAGCCTTCATTATAGTAGGCCTGAGGGAGGGCTTGGGTTGTTGAACCAGCCTTCATTATAGTAGACCTGAGGGAGGGCTTGGGTTATTGAACCAGCCTTCATTATAGTAGATCTGAGGGGTTTAGAACATATCAAATGGAAAACAAGCTATTGTTACAGGTTACAGATCACTTCTAAATACTAGGTTCACCGGTATTCACAGAGGTTCTCATCTCTCGTTTCATGATGGGCATGGACACGTAGGCTACATCATGGAGGGGGTTTTACGCACCTCCAAAACGGGACCTGCATGGCTAAAATAATGTGGGCCTGCATACAATACATAGATAAAAATGGAATGTCAGCTCACTGTTTTACTCCTCTCAAACTTTATATTTTACTAAAGCTTTGGTGATTAAGATTTATTTCCAAGCGGTCTCAGGAGCCAAACCTTTTATCGACAGTCTTGACTACTTCGCGATTGCATTGGGCAGGACATACAAAAAACTTAATTGAGAGGAGGGAGGTTATACTTGGTTTTAACAAAATAAAACGAAATGGGAAAAAAAACATTTTCTGACGTGTCTAAATACGAAGTATACAGGCACCAAAAGCACATTAGGCTACTCTTGTTCCATGCGCATATGAGCAGGGTGCGTCACCGCAGGATAGGCTGGATTTCCACGGTCAGAATGCATGCCATAACCAACTGCGTTACCGCTAAAACCAGCTTTTGGTTGGTCTTAAATATCCCTATCAGCGCTGCCTGAAATTAGCGCTTTGGATCATGTTTTTAAGGACACACCTCAAATATTTCCACCCCTCCCATTTAGCGCAAGTGAGATGATATAAGACAGGTAAATTGCCAAACCTGGCGTTAGGGCTGGAAAATGTCAGGTGATCCAGTTTTTACATGTCGAAATCGCAAACTAGCGTGCGTTTGACATTAGCGCCGCCTTAACGCCAGCCGAAAATAGTTCCCCTAGAGTCTAGACAGCATCTTACCTTCAAGTCCTGCTCCAGGGCCCTCAGTAGCTCTCCGTCTACCTCTCCGGTCTGGGCGAACCTCATCCTCTTCCTCTCCGCCTTCCTCAGACGGTACTGGAGAATCCGGCAGTTCTTATTGGCTCGCTCCAGCTCGCGACGCATGTCCTGCAGCTGGCACGCGTCCTCTTCATAGAACGTGTCTCTCATCTCATCCATCTCCACTCTCATCTCCTCTATCTCAGTCTAATAGGAACCAATGAGAGAGAGAGAGAGAGAGAGAGAGAGAGAGAGAGAGAGAGAGAGAGAGAGAGAGAGAGAGAGAGAGAGAGAGAGAGAGAGAGAGAGAGAGAGAGAGAGAGAGAGAGAGAGAGAGAGAGAGAGAGAGAGAGAGAGAGAGAGCAATTAGAGGCATCAATAAAACATTATAGAGGCAACATCAAAGGCGTCATGCCCATAGGGGCACCTGCCCCCTCAGATTTGTGCTGTTTAAAAAATAACAATATATATTTTTTTTAAATACATTTCTTTGTTCGTTTTTTCTCTGTAATACTACTAGCCATTTTTATGAAGCAATTTTATGAGGTTGGTTTTCGCTAGCCCAGATAGGTTCCCAACCTCCCATCATCATAACTAGCTACCAAGAAGCCATTACAGGCTATCAAGTTAGAGTAGCTAGCTTGTCTAACGATCTTAGCTGGCTGCTGGCAAGGTTGGTAGACTTTAGAAAAGCAAGCAATAACTAAATGTACTGAATAAGACTCACATTCCTTTCAATCTTTTACCCAGATTTGAGCAGAGATGCAGAAAAGCATATATATATATATATATTTTTAAACCACCAGTCAGGAGGATACAGACAGCTCAAGAGGTATGCTTAGATATGCGTAAAAAAATACATATTTTGGACATAGAATTAAGCATAATGATTTTGGCATTAGATTGCTGGAAAAAGCTGTTTCAGGTGTTTGAAAAATGCAAAATTCTCCAATTTATGGACAGGGGCATAGCCCCCCTCCAGAACAACCCCCCCCCCCCCCCCCCCAGCCATCCTCATGTACTTTGTGCTCCTCAGATTTTGGGGGTGCATGACGCCCCTGGACAACAGTATAAAGCATAGGCAGCTAAGATATGCTGTTATTAAACCCATTCTCATAACCATACAGATGTGGCAGCGGCAGACATACAGACATACCTTTAGCTCATCATTTTCATCCTCCAGCTTCTCTATCTCCTCCTGAAATAGCTGGTCAGGCTCAGGTACCGGCTCGGGCTCGTTAACGATGGCCTCAGGGGTGAGATCCTCTGGTTCCGCCATTTCTGTGACGGGCTCCGGGGGAGACAGTGTCTTCGTCTGCATCTTGCCTCCTCCTTTCTTTAAGCTCTTATTCAGGTGAAACTGGATCAGCTCAGACTGCAAACATCCCTCTCTCCAGAACCCAGGGCCGCAGCCCACACTGCTCTTGCTGGAGCTCTTTTTGTTGCCGGTCGCTGTGCTGCTAGCTCCTCCTCCTCCCTCTCCTCTCGGGTTATTGTTCTTCAATTTAGGAGATTTGGATGAACAAGGCTGATCAGAAACAACCCGTGTTGTATCCCCCTTAAAGCACGATATGTCAGTGCAACGCGAGTCTTCAGACTGACTACTGCCCTCCTCTGCCGCTCCTCTGCTGCTCCCAGCCGCCGCCGCCCTGCTCAACGTCTGGATTTCAGCACCTCCGGGCTGGACAGGGGCCGCGCCTGCCACGCTTGCCGCGCCTGTGGAAGAGGAAGACTGTCTGTCTTTGCTGGTTGCCGTGGAGACCGGGGAGCTGACGCGGCTGCCTCTCCCTCCTCCGCACTGCTTTGACGTGATGCTCTTTGACGGAGTGCTGCTTTTCGGTGTCTCTTTGGATCCAGTGTCTTTGCCGCCAGCCGGAGAGGAAGCGCGCTGTTGCTGTTGTTTTCTATTGCTATTGTCTAGCTGGCTGCGGGAGTCGGCAGCGCCGCTTGAGGCAGGGTTCATGGTGCCATATAGGGAGGATGGACGTTCAGTTCAATAGCCTAGTCTACTTCCACATCACATCACCCAGACAGTCCCTCCCTGCGGTGTGTTCTTCTGGCTGAAAATAACCCAGTTACACATCGTTATTTATGTACAAATGCAAAGAAGAAGAAGAAGAAGAAGAAGAAGCGGAGAAGCCCGAGTTGATTGCTTTCATGCGTTTCTTGAAAGTAGACTCAAGTAGGCTAAACGAGAGGACATTCTATTTTGAGAGGTCTTTAAATATAGAACGTATCTGAAATTAATATTGTATGTAAAGGGAACCTTCATAACAACACTCAGCAATCCACCCACAATAAGGTTTCAGTAGAGGCAAACCATCTCCCAACACCATCAGACTAGGCCTACTAGGCTACTAGCCCATACACACGCAGGGAATGGAAATCTCATCAGCCAATTAAATTGCACTGGGTTGAAGCATGTGTCCAGCCGTCTGACTGTTGATCTACCTCTCTCTCTCTCTCTCTCTCTCTCTCTCTCTCTCTCTCTCTCTCTCTCTCTCTCTCTCTCTCATTATTTTAAAGACAGGATTCTTCGGAGCCCTGACCTCCAGAAGTAAGCATCGTCGAGACAAGGCTCGAGGGAAAGTGTTTTGAGTATCTGTCAGGCTCGTGCCAGTCATTCCACTCCAGCCGTCCGACACGTTCGATGAGACAGCACTCAACCGGATGGAACGGATAAAACCGCAAATAAAGGAGCGAGCGACAGAAAAAGGGCAAGCTACACGATGCTCGCGCTGTAGTACACTCAATAGTTGAATACAGGCTAGAATACGATAGTCAACCTAGTGTGTAGTCTAATTAGAGGTTAGTTTCCGATAGAAAGCAGGCACACTGGGTCCAACAATTTAACAATCATGAAGATTAAAACTGACTGACACAATTCACACATTTGTCCTCTCAGCACGAAATATATTAATGTTAATCATAACAATATAGTTATTCTTAACCAATGAAAACAATGAATATCATTTAAAGGGCATCTTACCAGCAGTATCCCGGCGACAGTGATGGGGGAGGAGGAGAATCCCCTCCTGAATCTCTGAGTGCACCGCCCAACCACCAATGAAACTGTTTCAATATATATATTACATTACGTCACCTAGGGAGGGGCGCAGAAAGAGACTAACCGGAAAAGGAAGTTAGAAATGCTTTGTTGGCTCTTGGCAGGACTCATGACATACATAAATAATGGATTCACTGAATGATGACCTGAAGATTTGTTGCACCATAATTGGTGAGAATGCCTTATTGATTTAAAGATTGTCAGAGAGAGAGAGGCAGTCATATCAGAGGCTTTGAGGATGGATAAACAGGGGGTGTCCCTCCTTGAATAAGTGGTTCCTGTCTACCACCAGTTGTATGGTTTGTTAAACTTTGAAATCAATGGTTTTGGTTTGGTGGACATTTAAGCATAATTCTGTTACCAAGGAATTGGAGGGAGGCATATTATATCACTGTGCCTCTGTGTTTCAAAACAAGCTGAGTACCAAAGACATCCAGCCAACATTGTCATTTTCCATTAATTCCTGGCTTGTCACTGAGACACACTCTCTCTCTCTCTCTCTCTCGCTCTCAGCCTCAAGCTGTGTTGTGAAACTGTTTCACAGGAGCCTGGAGTCCGTCAGAGCTGAGTAAAGAGAGAGAGAGAGAGAGCAAGAGAGGGGGGTACTTTTTGGACAGAGCTATGGGACAGAGACAGTCAGAAGATCTCACCCTCCTCACACTAACTTGGGTTATCTCTCACCCTCCTCACACTAACTGGGGTTATCTCTCACCCTCCTCACACTAACTGGGGTTATCTCTCACCCTCCTCACACTAACTGGGGTTATCTCTCACCCTCCTCACACTAACTGGGGTTATCTCTCACCCTCCTCACACTAACTGGGGTTATCTCTCACCTTCCTCACACTAACTGGGGTTATCTCTCACCCTCCTCACACTAACTGGGGTTATCTCTCACCCTCCTCACACTAACTGGGGTTATCTCTCACCCTCCTCACACTAACTGGGGTTATCTCTCACCCTCCTCACACTAACTGGGGTTATCTCTCACCCTCCTCACACTAACTGGGGTTATCACTCACCCTCCTTACACTAACTGGGGTGTGTAATATCAACAGAGTAGTCTCAATAGTAATATGCACACAGGTACAATAAATGTCATAGGAAACCAATAGAAATCCCCTCACACTTATAGCCTCTTGTATAGTTTATTACAACAATTCCAGCAGAATGTTTTGGGAATGCCTAAGGGAGCCAGAGTTGAAGAGTACCTCTTCTGTGATAGTTTATCACCACAGCCTGCAGACTGGTGAGTCTGGCTTTTATTATTTATTTACAGCTGGTGCTAAAGCACAGCTAATCCCTCATTGGAAATCACTATCTAATTGTCAAAGATGTTGTTAAGCTAATTATTTGGCTTTGTCCTGTGGTAGTGGTCATAAAAATAAAAAAAAGAACCACAGATGTTTTGGGGTTTAAACTCTCCACTACCCCCACCTCTAGGGCTACCCCCAACCCCCCTCTACCCAACCCTGCTCTCCTCCCCATCCACCCCCACCTCTTCACCCCTCTTCCCCTCTTCCTCTCCTCCCCCCACCTCGCCACCCCTCTCTGTCAACTGTGAGGACCTTACTATGACAGATGTCTGCATCCCTGTAGGGCCCAGTCTCCCTCAAATGAAATCCACTCAACATAAATTAACCCTTGAAAATCTCTTCTGTATCTTCCTGAAATCCAATCAACCCTGTACTACTGATGGCTCTATATTCTGCATCCTCAAATTGTGAAAAGTTGATTACATATTATCCATTGTCCAGTTATTATTGCAACTTTGATGTCTTATAACCATACATGCAAAAATGTATAAGCCAAAACTGAGATGAGATTTAGCTGGATGCAATAGAAACTCCTGTAGTATATCCTGTAACTCTAGTTTGATCCTGAGGTATTGTGTAACTCCAGTCTGATCCTAAGGTATTGTGTAACTCTAGTCTGATCCTGAAGTATTGTGTAACTCTAGTCTGATCCTGAGGTATTGTGTAACTCCAGTCTGATCCTGAAGTATTGTGTAACTCTAGTCTGATCCTGAGGTATTGTGTAAACTTCGTAAACAATTCATGGTAATTCATGGTAACCTCGTAAACAATTCATTTAGACCCAGCGTATATTTGAAACAGGAGTTTATTTGCTGAAATGTGTGCGATGCCCGGCTGCGTTTAATTGAAGTTTTACGGTAATTGAACTATAAAAATGTATTACCTTTAAATGTGCCATAAACACAACCAGTCGTGATGTTTTCATCTGATTGTCAAACAAATCACTTCAAAAAGTAGGTTACCTTTGCATGTTAATCCCAAATAATTCCAGCATCCGAGCTTCAATTCGCAAGTGGCTGAAACTATCTTAGCGAGCGAGAAAATAAAAGCATGTTAGCGAGCGAAACAGCGCCCCTCTGTCTTACTATATGTATCCCATGTATCTGATTCTGTCTGGCCAAAAATAGTATGACATTCCATGGGCTACACATACATGTCCTCTGCCTCGATGACGATGGCAGTATAATCAGCAGCACCTGTCTTTTCACTAAATACATTTAGTTAACTCATTTTTCTGTTATAATCCCTCATGTTTGTTCAGGGTTTGTGTAACATGTATGGGGCCCAGACACCAATAGGCTAGGACTTCAGAATCATAATCCCCAAAAATGCTACACAATATGAAGTAATTTCAGTGATACAGTTTGTCTTGAATGACAGCTAATGAGGACCAAAGGGAGCGGCCTGTGCTGGGTTTTTTAATGAGTGGGCGTGTCCTGGTCACAGCTGTGGGGTAGGAGGAGCTACAGATTCTAGAGATACTGCTTCATAATAGGACTAAGCAAAGCGCCACAATAATAACTATTTTTACATTGCTCCAATTTATCATATTTTATGAGGGATAAATAAAATGCAACTGTTACATACTGTATATGACTTATTGCTGGATCTCATGGGGCTGGAAACAACTGCTCTGTTCTCCTCTCCCTGTGAGTTTCCATCAGGCATATAGATGAACACCTGTCTGCTCTAGCCTGGCCCTGAAGGATGAATATGTGAGGGAGGAGACGAGGGGGGAGTATGGAGACATAGAAATCCTCCTTAATTAGTCCTCTCGACCATCCAATAACAGGCATAGGACAGATATTTGAGACTTTTAAAACATAGATGTTTCTATGTGCCTAAAAAGTCTGAAAAAGACACAAAGAGTTATGTGAGGCCAGGGAATCTTCTCTCCGTATCTGAGGAGATGTTGAAACTGCATTCCAGAGAATCTTCTCTCTGTATCTGAGGAGATGTTGAAACTACAGGCCAGGGAATCTTCTCTCTGTATCTGAGGAGATGTTGAAACTGCAGGCAGTGAGGAAATAGAGGAGCCTCAAGGGGAGGAGCCTGCTAAAATTACAGCTGTCCTGTATTGAGTTATTAAAGCATCGCTCCTGGTAACAGAATAACGAAGAACCATCATTCATCTCCTTCTCTGGCATTACAAACACCCACCCATAAACTCTCTAGTCTAGTAGTACATGAACACACACGCACACTCACACACAATCATCCAACTGTGTGGGGGCCCTCATGGATTACAGAGGAGGGTGCATGCGTGTGTGTGTCTGTGTGTTGTGTGTGTGTGTGTGTGTGTGTGTGCGTGCGTTTGTGTGTGTGCGTGCGTTTGTGTGTGTGTGTGTCTGTGTGTGTGTGTGTGTGTGTCTGTGTGCGTGTGTGTGTGTATGTCTGTGTGTGTGTCTGTGTGTGTGTGTGTGTGTGTGTGTGTGTGTGTGTGTGCGTGTGTGCGTGCGTGCGTGCGTGTGTGTGTGTGTGTCTGTGTCTGTGTGTGTCTGTGTCTGTGTCTGTGTGTGTGTGTGTGCGTGCATGCGTGTCTGTGGGGGGAGGTGTGAGAGACCCCCAGTTTAATTTAGA